TGTTCATGAACGAGGGAACCGCAATTTCTTGACGCTATCAAAAGCAAACACTTGTTGCTACGTCCTCAAATCATGCTGAAGTAATTGCACTAAATGAAGCTAGTAGAGAATGCACATGGTTAAGATTGATGAGACAACTCATTTTGTCTTCATGTGGACTAGATAAAGATAAAGGTCCAACATTAAGTTATGAAGATAACCGTGACAACCCAAAAATTTCTATTCTGTACAACCATCCACTTCAATTGAAGTCAAACCTATTTCTGCTAACTTTCAAGCTTTTTGGAATAAGTTTGAGTGGTTTAAAGTTAGTACTTCAAGAGATAACTGGAGAGAGGATGCCCTAGTGTTTATTGTACATCAATTAGGTTCTAAAAACCCCAAGAGTTTGGAGTTTACGGCCCAAATGGTATTAGGGTCGTAAACCCTAATGACTATATAAGTAAGACTTAGTTATTTTTATCACTTTTTCACAATTTCAAGATCCAAACTCAAATCCTCTCAAGTAGCATCCGAATTTTCATCTTCAACTTGTAAGTGTTTCTATCCCTAATTAGTTGATATCTACCTTAATCTAGTGATCTAACATGATTTCATCCGTGAAATCATTCCAAAAGTGTAGATCTTCAAGTTTCACCAAGAACACACACTAGTGTTCTTGGACTTTTAGCACCTTTTCAAGCTTCTACCTTGTAAGTACTTCTATCCTAGAGTATTATAAGCCTTATTACACTTCTAAAAATCAAGAAAACACCCAAGAAATCCAAGATCAAAGGTGTTTACGGTCCAAGATGTTCTTGGACTGTAAACCCTAAAAAGGGTGCCAAAGTGTCCCTATTCTCTTGCTCACATCACTAAAATCTTATGAACTGACCAACTTAGTTGCTGATAAACTCTTTCAAATAACTTGTATTCTCAGGAGACTATTAGACAAGTGCTCGTGCTGGGGATTCAGAAGATGAAGCATTATAGCTTCAAGTCTTGTTTTGTTGTTTGTGTATGAATTCTATGTTTTGTGAACACACACGTTGTAAACTAGGGATGGCAATGGGTATGGGTATACCGGGTTTCGTGTTCCCCATCCCCATACCCGAATCCCGATTCCCATCCTCATACCCGACCCCATCCCTATCGGGGATTAGAAATCTATCCCCATCCCCATCCCCATCCCCAATGGGTATCGGGGATCCCCAATGGGTAATCGGGGATTTTTCCCCATTACAAAATTTTGAACTTTTATGAAAAATAACTCATAATTATATATTAACCAACAAAACAAAAACTAACAAAACTAATATAGAACGCTATAATCACTGAGTGTCTTTAAACACAAATAATAACATTCAAGGTTATAAATTAAATCATTTTTTCCAAAAAAAGACATTAAAAGTCTTCCCAAAACTATACGTTTGATTATTAAAAAAAGCTTACTTTGTCTACTGAACATTTGCTTATGCATTATTAAAAATAAAAACACAAGTAACACTATATATATATATATATATATATATATATATATATATATATATATATATATATATATATATATATATATATATATATATCGGGTACCCATCGGGGCCAGTTTTGGGTACGGGTATGGGTACCCGGCATGTAGAACCATCCCCATCCCCATCCCCGCCTTTTGTATTCGGGTAATACCCATCCCCGGTCAACTCGAGGATTTACCCAGTCAACTCGGGTTAGGGTTTCGGGTACGGGTTTTTTTGCCATCTCTATTGTAAACACTTTCTTTCTAAATAAAATGGTTGTTCATTACTTGCTTACCATGTACATACCTCGTGATACTAAACATGACGTCCTCCACCCCTGAACGATTCCGATGTTTTGGTTTTGGGGTGTGACAATAACTTAGCATGTGTCACTCAAATGAAATAAGGATATATCAAGA